AAGTGGACTCAATTTGCACTATTTCTAACAGTCTGCAAAGGCCCTTTACATTAATGCAGTTTGACTTGTGGCTATGTCCACAATACTTCTTAGCACTGATATATATACCCACAGCTATTTAGTGGCCAGAGGGAAGTTGGTGGTGTCCAGCATCCAACCATAGTTTGGCAGCTGGAAGCAAAGAGCAGATATCACCTCTCCAGTGAAAAGGGATATTTATACAAGAGTTGTTGAGTATTTCCTTCCACAATGTCAGAAAAGTTACATATGCCATGGCACATGAATTTTGGCCAATAGAGCCCACTTTATGAGAGCAAGCAGTCCCAGCATCTGTGAAGCAGCTGGCAATAGTGAGGCCACTCCTGAAGAAGCCTCTGAGAAATGATGAGGATAATATGTCTGTCTGAAGGGCCATATCATCGCAAAAGAATCTGGCTGATAACTTCAAGGGGAGGTCATTCTCTCACTCTTGTACCTCTCTCACTCTTTGGTGACTGCTTCCAGGCTTTGGAATTTCATGTCTAGGGAATCCAGACTGTTACACACCTTGGTGTTCCTCCAGTAGTAGTTTTCTTTTCATTTATGTATTTTTTTAACTTAATGGATTGCCATCATCTCACAACTGCATAAATAAATAAATATACAGACCTAAAGACACACTGGGAAGGGATTAGGGCATGGAGGTGGGGCTTTGGAGGCTGGCATGTGGAAGCCAGAAGCCAGGACAGAATCAGCATCATGGCAATTTAGAAGACCTTTGCAATAATCATCACACCCAACCCAGTATGTTTTCATTTCCTAGACCAGTGATTCCCAAACTTTGGTCCTCCAGGTGTTTTGGACTTCAACTTCCACAAGCTTTATCCAGCTTGACCAACAGTCAGGAATTCTGGGAACCAAAGTCCAAACATCTGGAGGACCAAAGTTTGGGAACCTCTGCCCTAGACTAACATGATTGTAGCACCATACGATCCTGATGTCCTAATGCTGTAATCCTGTACACTTCTACCTGGAAGTTCATACCATTGGACTCAATGGGGATAACTTCTTCCCAGTATGCATGGGGTTACATTGTAAGTGCACAACTAGCATTGCCATTTTAAAAATGCATTTTCAGTGCAGATGAAAGTACAATTGGTTTAACTACTCCTTGAGGGTTTAACTGATCCTTGAGGTAAGATCTAATACATATTAGATCTAGAAATTTGAAGTTCTAGTGGGTTCTAGATCATTGCAATTAAGAGCTAACTGAGAGCTCTTTAAATTATAATTTGAGTATTTTAAGTTTAGACTGCAGTCCTGCACCATTAGAAACCAATCACTGTTAATGCTATTTATGTCGACAGGATCAAGAGCCCAGTCTTGCAACAAATTCAATGGGGCATTCTGGAAGAGGTAGATTATCTAGATCAGGGGTAGGCAACCTTTCCCCTTTAAGGGCCGAGGGACTTCAGCTCCCAGAATCCCAGGAGCTATTGGCCAATATGGGACTATTGGCCAACATGGCTGAAGCTTCTGGGAGCTGAAGTCCCTTGGCCCTTAAAGGGGAAAGGTTGCCTACCCCTGATCTAGATTTATTTCAGTCTGGCTTCAGACCTGGTTGTGGAATGAAGATGGCTTTGGCTGCCTTGGCACACAATGTATGACAGGATCTGGACACAAGGAGTGTTTCCCTGTTGATTCAGTGAGACCTTTGGGTTCCATCAGCTGTAATATTCTTCTGGGCCTCCTTCCTGGAATATAGGGGCAATGTTTTATAATGAATCCATTTCTTTCTGGATAGGAGATTCTGAAGGTGGTAATGTGGGGTTCCTGTTCAACTCTCTGGCTGTTGGCCTGTGTCAGGGTTCTGATTTGTTCTCAATGCCATTTGACATACGCATGACATTTCTGGTTCCCAGACCTTTCATCATTTTAGTTGCCCTCCTTTGGACATGCTCCAGCTTGTTGACATCCTTCTTGAATTGTGGTGACCACAATTGGACACAATATTCCAGGGGAAATCTGACCAAAGCAGAATAGAATGGCATTATTACTTCCCTTGATCTAGAGACACTATACTCCTATTGATGCAGCCTAGAATCACATTGGCTTTTTAGCCAGTGCATCATGAGTACCTAACTCTAAAATAAGCAGTTTCATTTCTCTACTAGTATCTGTATCAGTAATGGATAGCATGAAGGTGAACAAATTAAAGCTAGATCCAGAGAAAAGACTGAGGCAGTCCTAGTCATTCAAAAGATGGATCAGAGAATAACTATTCAGGTTACACTCCCACTGAAGACACAGCTTTGCAGTTTGGATGAGTACTGAGCCTGTATGCTCAGGTTTCAGGGACAGCCATGAGTACATTTGCGCAGATAAAATTATTTTTCCAGAAGTGCCCGTTTATTTTCATTGATTTGATTTAGTTTGGAGGGAAAGACATGATATAAACATAAAGAGTAATAATTTATAATAACAAAAATAATGATCATTCAATTATCATCTACCTCAGCTTTTAATACCATTTAACAGATATTGAGTGCCATGCCTCACTGTTGTGTCATATCTAATTCTGACCCTCTGTTTCCCCTTTTCCTCTCCCTCTCTTCATTAAGTGAATATTCATGGTGACTGAATCAGCTCCAGATGGGCTCAGAGGATAAACATGTAACTGTAACTGCAGGTATGAGAGAACATTCCCATTTGTCTGTATCCCCAGTCTCATAAAAGTGCCCTTCTTTGAATCGGGGTGCAATAAAACCCAGGAAGCTATATTCCCTGGAAGGAAACCTTTTCTGGAGCAGCTGCAGAGCATGTGTCTCTGAGATTTCTCTCAGAAAAGAGATGCATCTTCATGCTGTGAAGAACAAGCCTCATCGTGAATGTGTAAATCAGCCCATTCAGGCTATCATGTTGAATACATTCAGGCTATCATGTTGAAATCTTGATTTGAAAACTAAAAGCTGTTCTTTCAAATTCTATCATTTTAAATTTCAACGCTGAAGTCATTAGACTATTACTTAACATATTGTTTTCTCTGGCCTTGGTCCAATTGGGTAATTATGCTTTCATCATTTCTGCAGCTGCCCCATAAACAGAATTTGTGCAGGAATGACATCCAGTGCCTCCCACAGAGCAATATTTCATATTTTTGCAGTTCCACTATGGAAATCAGCACTTGAACAATGGCATGACCCAGGAGGCCTATTCGGGTGAGGATTTTCATTATGCCACAAGTGAATTGAATTTTGGCCTCTGATTGGGTATAAGGGAACCAGTGTGGTGTAGTGGTTTGAACGTTGATCTATGACTCTGGAGATTAGGGTTTGAATCCCCCATTCAGCCATGAAAACCCACTAAATGACTTTCAACAAGTCACACTCTGGAGATTATCACATAGGGATGGGGATGGGACAGGATGGGATGGGAATGCTCTCCCATCCTTATACCAACCATGACTGCAGTTGCATGAAAGAAATTCACACATGTCACACTGATTCAGTCATTGTCCCATCAGTGAAGTGGAATTGTATTAATGGGTTCTTCCGTTCATACAAAATGATGGGAAATGAGGGGACAATTCCACTTCACTCACAGAATAATGACAGGATTAGCATGACATCATATGAGAGTCTTTCACACAATCAGTCATTTGCATTTGCTGGACAGGACAATGTCTGGATCAGCACAACGTAATGTGAAAGTCCTTCCTGTGATCACATGGGAAGGATGGGACAAGGATGAGGAAAGGACAGGTCAGGGATATCCTTTTCCCTGTCTGATAATCTCCTCTGTCACTCTCAGAGGAAGGCAAAGGCAAATCCCCTCTGAATAAATTTTGTCAAGAAACCCCATGATAGTTTTGCCTTAGGTCACCATAAGTCAGAAACAACTTGAATTTGCGTGTAAATGTGACAATATTCAGGATGAAAGGGACAATTGTCACCAAAAATATGCCATTTTAGTATGTGGCAAATTTCTTCATGTAAAGGAACAGCTGTATTTGATTTATATGGCCCTGTTTTTAACAGTCTTGTTCAGGCATTTCCTTCAATGCATAAGGGATATAAAATGGGTAGAAGGATAAGGACATACACCTTATTATGCCTTCCTTTACCTTGCACTTGCTGCCTTTAGTCATAGGA